ACATATAGTCAGTGGGACTTGAGCACAAAGATGGAACAAAAGAGTTTTTCTTCAGCAAGGGGTGAAGAATAAGTATGCTTAAAAGACTCTAGGAAACTAATAGTAGTTAAAGAATATGACAAAAAGCTGAGAAGATGGGGATTTGGCATTTGGGAGATGCTCTGTTCTGCTGTTCCACTAATTTATTTGGGATCATCAGGAGAAAAAAATTAAGGCAGATGAGTGGTGGTAGACAGAATTACCTCAGGGACTCCATCCTGAACAAAACTCTTGATCTAATAAAAATCAAGACATACTGTTACAAACCCCAAAGAAAAGAAAACCAATGAGTGTTCTGCTGCAAAAATTATAGCACTATGTTTATAGCAAGCAACATTAACACATTACACAAATTTTTTAAAAGAAAATATCTGTATGATGTGCAATATTTAGGGTTTTAAATCTATAAAACTGGCAGTATTAAACAGATCTGCTACCTTATGCCATGGACAATGCTGGTAATTCATTCCAGGAATGTTTTCATGTAGCTATTTCATTTAAAGTATGGATATATTTATTTGTAAGACCCAAATATAATAAAGGTCCCTGCCTTACATAAGGACTATTTATGCACTGACAGCTATAATCCCAATTCTATTGTTGGAAAAAAACTTGCAATTTTTAACCGAAAGCAATCAGCAAAATCCCTCTGAAAATTCCAATACGCTAACCATCATAAAGAGAATGTTTTGCCACAGTTGCATCTTGGACCCTAAGTGAAAATTAAAGCAAAGTTTGAAAACTAAATATTACCAATATAGGAATAGCATGAGATGCTTGGAGCCTATGCTGTCAAAATTGATAGAGGCATAATTATGAGGAACAAATAGAACTGCAGCCAGATTCAGAGAAACAACTGTTCTCACATTTACAGGAACTTGCAGAACAAGGCTGAATGAGACTGGCATAATAACAACAAAGAATTAAAAAGCAACAACATATCAACAGTACCAAACTACCACAATCAGTTTTGTGTTTCTTTTCTTGAAATATGGTACTTATGTCTTCTACATGCAGAGTGATCAGAAAAATTCATTATTAAGACTAGTTTCTGTAAGTAGAAGTGACCCAATGAACAACCATTTATGGGGAGGGAATAACCCTTGAGTACTATTTGAAGTTATTCAATCAACTCCCAGATTTTGTTGACTGACTCAATCCCTACGTATAGCATACTGGCGCAGGAGACACATTCTGTTCCCATAAATATCAATCTGCTGACTATTTTTTCATCTTGTTTAATGATGAATTCTATACTTCTCTTTTGAATCACCTTGGTTGATTCTAATTAAAAAAAATATCAGGTATGAATTTTGAATATTATGAACTAATTATCTCAAACCCACCAGTGAAACATTATTAGAACTAAAGATGCATATTTATAAAGTGGTACTGCCCACTCAGGATCAAGGAATATCTCCTACCCAATTCAGAGAGATCTTTAAAATCTTGGGGAAAAACCCAAGATGCTAAAATCTTTTTAAAAAGCCAATAAATTATAAAAGATGTTTGACATATGCTAGTATCAGTTCAGAATAAAATTCTGTAACATGTTAATCACCCAGCTGGCATTACATAACACTTTACTATAACACACTTGCTTACATAAAAATATGTGAATGATAACAGTCAGCTACCAATATAAAAGTTACCCCTGAAATCTACTGAGAAACTCATCTCCTAGATTCCAGGGGAGGATGCTGAATCCTGAAGACTATCAACATTTCCTATTATTCAGACTAAAAATTAAAATTGGGAACAGGTATTCAATTGCTTCTCATTTCTATCTATATCTTCATCTTCTATAAAGAATCAATATCAATCCTATGCATTTACAGAAGTAAATTCAGGGGAGTTTACTCATACATACTGTAAGTGTGTATGCAATTAATGCTGTATAAGGTTACAGCTTTTAGCAATAGCAATAGCAATTAGACTTATATACTGCTTCATAGTGTTTACAACCCTGGTTTATAGAGTCACTACATTGCCCCAACAATCTCATTTTACTGACTTCAGAAGGATGGAAGGCTCAGTCAACCTTGAGCCAGTGAAAATCAAACTGCCGGCAGTCAGCAGAATTCGATTTTAGAGTAATCCTATATTATAAGTATATTCTATATTTAAGATTTTGGCTGAAATGTCTCTTTCTGTCTTCCCCAATCATCCCCTTCTTCTGGTTGCTGTAGAACCCTAAAATTCTCAACTATCTCAATGCCATTTCCTCAGAGAAGCTAAGAATTGCAATCATCGCTAATATCTGATATGCTAGGTATTGAATGTTAGGCCAATATTTGATTACTTCAAAATCAACTAGGATATCTTTCTTCCTACAGATAGCAATAGCATTTAGGCTTAAATACCGCTTTATAGTGCTTTACAGCTTTCTCTAAGCAGTTTACAGAGTCAGCATATTGCCCCCAACAATTTGGGTCCTCATTTTACCCACCTTGGAAGGATGGAAGGCTGAGTCAACCTTGAGCCTGGTGGGATTTGATCTGCCAAATTGCAGGCAGCTGGCTGTCAGCAGAAGTAGCTTGCAGTACTGCATTCTAACCACTGCGCCACTAATTAATGGAAGACACTATGCTGAGACTTTGGTCAGTTCTGGAATCTATGGATTTAAAAATGTGGTGGATCCTCAATCAAGATTATTTTATGTGATCCTTCAAGACCTTTTCAATGCTATAATTCTATCAACAAAACACTTCCTCAAAGTAAGCCATGGGAAGCTCAGTGTGACACATGAATGGATAGGATTAAAGCCAACATTTCATAAAATAGTCTTTTCTTTGATTCTTTAATGCAACAGAAAATTCAAATGGCATTCTGCTGTGCAAAAAAATATTAAAATCTGTATTTTAAACATGATAGATAAGATCAGGTCACATTATCTGTGGGAGACTTGGCTATAAAGGAAACCATTAATCCTAGTTAATTCTAAATTATTTGTCTTCTAAAGCATCCTCTAGAAATTTTAAATTAGACAGTGCAAAGCTGGAGTTATTGCATTGCCACTGATAATTAATTCAAATGTCCACTTGTATTATTAGCAATGCTCTATGAATAATTATTTGTTGCTTTGTCACGCAAATCCACTGCTGTTAATTTTAAAAGAATCTTGCGCCGTTATCATTTGTCACAACAGTTTTAACAGCCTTTTTTCTATAATGTATAGTGCAATTGCCTGATTTGCCAGCAGTAGACACTGTTACATTTGTTATTTGCCTAGAAAACTAACAGGCAGTATAGAACTCCATATCACATTTGCTGCATGCAGTGGCACAGAAATCTGGATAAAGAACAGAGACCTATTACCATCCCTAAAAGAATACATTATTTTATGAGTATCAAGGAAGATAACTGAATGAGATTTATATCGAGTTGCATAGAAGTCAATATTACCTAAAGGCAGATGTACAGGCAATTGAAAAAAAAGATATTTTTATGCTAGAACATAAGAATTGTTTATTTTTTAAGGATGATTTTCAAAAGACAGATTATGCAATGGGAAAATGGGTCTTTAAAGGTATGGAGTTTCTTTTTCAAGCCGAAAGAAGGAAGAAACCTTAGACATTTATATTTTGTTATTTTAGATAAAACTTTTACATTTATATTAGATTAAATCAAACAAGATAGTGTTAGCTGATGATTTAAAAAAAAAAAAACCTGGGATGGGACATTTGACAAAATCCCATTCCTACAGTAATAGAAAGACAGAATATACTCTGGTAACATCTTTCTTATTCTTATCATTTCATTCTTATCATACCAGTTCATTCTGATTTATACTTCTTTTAAACCACTCATGTATATCAGTATGGGAAATATGTTATAGCAGCATACCCCGACCTTCCCAGGTTGGCGGCCTGGCACCAGGGGAGGGTTAAGAGGTGGAAGAGGAGACGTCTCTGCACACATACAACTTCATTTAGGGATGCAAGTGCTGGTCCCCACAGCTTACACGAGTCAGGCTGTGTGTGCGCATCATGCACATGCCAGCTACCGCTCACATGACCTGGTTGCAAATAGGTCATGACTTGGTAATGGGCCATGGCCCACAGGTTGTTGTGACTAAGACTTCTTGAGACCATAATTAATCACACGCTTAGTCCAAACAACCATCTTTTTATTTCAACGGCTGGGAATTATATTCATTCCCAGCCCGTAAAGAGTCCCAAACAGTCTCTCGAGATAAGCGCCCACCTTTATCTCCTTTGAATTGCTGCCAACAACTATAGTGCCAAATTAACTGTAAAAAGCCAAACAGAGTGAAAGTCCACACAGAGCTTCAAGGTTTAATCTGAACAGAGAGAACAAAGTTGCTTCCTGCAAAGTTTCCTGTCCCTTTGCTCCTCCTTTATGTCTCATGGGAGTGCCAATCACCTCCAAGCCTTACTCCCAAGTCACCTGCTTTTGCCTTAACTGTTCTTGCCTTCTGGCAGCTCTGCGTACACACACACTGGGAACAGGCTCCCCTTGTTCTTCAGCCTCGCTGCTGTCAGAATCTGGAGGCTCAGCACACAACTCCCAGATGGCTCTGGCCCCATCTCTGCAACGGATGCAGGACCCTTGTCTGAGTCCTCCCCAGACTCCAAGACTGGCCTATGTTCCTCCCCATTGTCCAACTCTGCTGCAGTCTCTGCAGGCTGCTGGCAGACCACAACACAGGTTGGGCACCCCTGTGTTATACAACCCTATGTGCTGAACCCAATTATACAGGTAGTCCTAGACATATGAACATAATGGAGCCCATACTTTCTGTTGCTAAGCGAGACAATTTGTTAAGTGAATTTTGCCCCATTTTATGACTAGTTGCTAAGTGAATCACAGCGGTTGCTAGGTTAGTAGCTAGTAGCTAAGTGAATCACAGCGGTGATTAGTAGCTAGTAGCTATAGCTAGTTGCTAAGTGAATCACAGCGATTGCTAAGTTAGTAACATGGTTGTTAAGTGAATTTGGCTTCCCCACTGATTTTGCTTGTCAGAAGGTCGCAAAAGTGGATCACATAATCGATTAGCAATAATTAGCAATAATCACGCCTCAGATAAACCTCATTGGCTACGATACTGCCACTGCGCAAAAACCGGATACTTCATCCATCATAAATATGAGCTAGCTACCAAGTGTCTGAATTTTGATCATGTGACTGGGATGCTGCCACAGTCATAATTATGAAAAACAGTTATCAGTCACATTTTTCAGTTTCGCTGTAACTTCAAATGGTCACTAAATGAACCATTATAACTCAAGGACTATTTGTACATCCTACAACTGTGTTAACAGAGTCTGGAGAATTTGAAATGGGACCATCTGTATCAGTGTCCAAAAATCACAAAATTGATAGGATTGCTAGAAATGAGCACAACTCCAAGTATTAACCAAATCTTTATCGGAAGCAATAGAACTGAATTCTAACTGATAGGCACCTTTTTGTTTACAGCAGTTGATCAAACCTGCCTTATATCAAAGGGGTAATAGTGACAATAATGACATCCACATATAAGAAGAATAACAAAGAAGCATCAATGAATTATAGACTAATTAGTCTGAGTATGATCAGTAAAGTATATACTAAGCACTTAAGCTCCAAACTCCAAAATACAGATTGGTACCTTGCTTGTTCAAATTGTATATTAATTCTATGGGCTTATTTCTTAACAACTTGGATTTTCATTTACCTATATTGAAAAGTTGTAAAATTTATACCCTCCAGATGCATATGCTGCTGACATTGTACCCCAAACCCCAACTGAATTAAAGGAAATGGTAAAAGATATTGATTTGTTCATGTATTTATTTATTTTTTATGACTGCCTATCTCAAACAAATGGCCTTAAGCAGCGAACAATCATTAAGAACAATTAAAAAACAAAATTACAAGCACGGTACAAAAGAAAATTAAATAGCAGCTGAGGAAGTTATAGTACATACATGGTAACACAGCCAGGAAAGGGCTTAACACACTCGCAACTCCAGAACCAGGTGCGGATGGGACAAATGGCCTTCTCTTAAGCTCACAAAATAGAGAGATGAATGTCCTGCCTCCAAGTTTGAAATTTTACATGACTTTTATCATTCCCTCTTGGAATGTGGCAATTTTATTATTTTTACACAGTGTAGTGTATATCTTGTATGATCTAGCTATATATCTAACAAGCTTCAATATAGGATGAAACAAGTTGGTTGCTGCCTTTTGGTGGCCAACATAAAATAGAGAAGGGATTATCCTATTTACTAAGGAATCAGTGATTCCATGATATTTTACTTAGTCTCCCATGGCAATTACTTTCAAAGTAAGAGTTCTAACAGCAAGTGTTATGGCGGAAAAAACTTGCCACCCAAAAAATCCCTATTTGCTAAAAATAGTAAAGGAAACATTTTATCCTTGCTTCAGAACTTTTTTTTAAAAGGATATGTTGGGTGAGCAATTTGTCACATAAATTAACCTCAACTCATTTATTTTTCATAATCTAATTATGCAAATCAAGCAAGTTCCAAAACAGTATGTAAGGCAGAAATGAGCTAATGTTTTTTTATAATCACCCTTAAAAATATTATTGTGTGCAAAAACTCAGTCCTTAAATCTTGGGGGAAATTGAAAGATATTAAGTAAAGATTCTTCAACTTTTCCAAAGCCCTGAAGGAGGAAAGGAACAAGCCAAGCAATTTGAGAACATAGTATATCAGCTTATGAAGTCACAGCATTTTATTTTCCTGAATTGCAGTTACTGCTGTTATTTTATATTAACCAATTCCAGTATGTTTTTTCCATCATAGACAGTGAAATCTTTTGAAAAATAATTATCTCTTCTTTGCATTCCAATTCTGGGTCATACCAATTTTTAAGCACTTAGTGCTATAATTTGATTTAATTTTGCAGTACATTCTAGTAAATGCCCCAGTGAAATGAAGCTAATAAAGCAAAATTTATTAAAGATATGTTAAGCCGGAAATAACTGTGTAGAACAATGCTGAAGAATGTAAGAGAGATCGAGTCAAATATTGAAGCATTTTTTTGTTATCTGCTTGGAGAAAGGAAACAAATAGGTTTTTTAAAACAATATATAGAATAAAGTTTAAAAACTAATACATCATTATGGCAAACATTTAATGAACCATTTCTTCAATATTTGTGGGCCTTATGGGTTTTTAGAGCTTTTATATTCATAGCTGGAGAAGGATACTTGGAAGTGAGGTGTATCAAGTAAAGCTGTTGTTAGGATGCTTTAATAGACTTTTTATAACATTGCATTGCTTCTTTCTCTGCTATATTGTACAGCACACAAAAATGGTCTGGTCTGCTTGACTTTATTTTCAATAAAAGGACCCTTAAAGTTGTTTTTTCAAAGGATAATTGGACTGCTTTTTCTCTGAGGAAAAAGAAGAAAAGGTTTCGCTTCTCACCCAAGAAACTTCATCAGTTCTAATGGTGAGGATGGAAGGATAGATTCTGACAGGATGGCCAGGGTGGGAGGGGAGAATGGAAGGATTGCATTTTTTTGCAATCATCTGGTTGTTAGCACTCTCTCTGAGTCTGAGAGCTGTTGAGGCCACTTGGGGGTTTATCTGTGTCCTCAAGGTCACCTGAATCAAGGTGCAGTTGGTTCTGGAATCTTCTTGGAACTGCTGGAAGGACTGCACTGTAGACTAGAGATCGGTGGTGTCTTATTCCTCGCTCTCTATTGAGGGAGGGTAGTTCAATTCTAACACAGTTGGATTCTTTTATCCCTCTTTCAAAGCCATGGTTCTCTCTATCCAAAATGTGGACTTTGTTGTCTTCAAAAGAGTGACCTTTGTCTTCAAAGGTCAGGACAAGATTCAGTAGTCCATCTGCATTTAAAAGACAAAACTCACTCTTTTGAAGAACCCAAGGTCCACATTTTGGATAGAGAAGACCATTGGATAGAGAGGGATTACCTTCTATCATTGAAAAGAGGCTGAATGATTAAGAATCTCTGCAGATATTTAAAGACACCTTGCTTGTTTCTTGTAGCAAAAGCAATCAAGAAACTGATAATGTCATATTTTATAGCAGAGTTCCACAAGCACAAGCCATCCTTCAGAAACTGTTACATTTAAGCTGCCATTTCCACAAAGTGCCATGTACATCACTTTCCCCCCCGAAGTACTTCAGCAATATAGAGAAAATATATCATTTTTACCCTCCTAAACTGGAGTAAAGAGGGGGGCTTGCCTCAATTTAATTATTGCTTTTGAAAATGAAAAAGGCAGATTTGTTGTGGTGACCCGGGGCATGGCACAAAGGCAACACAGTCAATTAAGCAAGAAGTGTCCCTTTAATACCTTCAACTTTGCCCCCAATATCCAAGTTACCTTTGGCTGGAGAAAAAACTCTCCCAAGAACAATCTTTCAGTGGAGGAAATTCAGTCTGAAAATAAAGTACATACAAACTGTAAATAAAAATCCACACAAACCAGGCTGCAGCAATTAGCTTGACAGGGCAGGAAAAGGAATTGCAGACTTGAAAGCCCAGCAAAACACACACAGTTGGGAAGATGCCAGGAACCCAGATAAGCCTCGACAATACCAGATAACTGCATCCTTGCTCCCAACAACTTGCTGTGCGCAGCTTCCCTTTTTAAACACTGTGTTCCCAGCTGCAGTTAATGAAGGGAATCAGGGCCCTTTCCTCCCCTGTATGCCATGCAACTCATGTTGCTCCCTTCTCCGTTCCTCCCTGCGTGCCCTAGGATGAAGAGGGTGGGCCTGGGTCTTCCTCTGAATTCTCTCTCCCTTGCTCTGCCTCTTCCCTGCTCTGCCCAGCCGGCCTTTGCCCTTCCCCAGTTTCTTCCACAGCCAACTGAGCCACGCTCCCACTCCCTGTCAGCTGCTCAGCCTCCCCCTCCGAATCAGTTTCCGATAGAGGCATGACATTTGTTATTCAAATAATATGGAATGCACTGTGCTGAAATGGAGGGGTTATAGGTCATTTGGCCATATAGCAAAGTGAACAACTTGAGTTGGGATCAGAAAGCAGCAGGCTGTTTCAATACAGGCATATGGCATCTCCTCAAAATGTTTCTTGCTACCTATGCTACTGGATTCTGGATAAGCTGCAATTCTTAAACCATCATCATTTTTTGTCTCTCAGAAATTATCATTGTTCCATTCAAAGGTTCACTTTTCTCTAAATAATCCATCTTGGTAGATTTGCCATTTTGTCTAATTGACATAGTTTTGGGAAACAATTTTCCTAGTAATCTCTTTTTTTTCATTCATTCATTTTTCATTCAATCTTTTTTTTCTAAATCATTCAGAAATTAGATTTGGAAAGTAAGATAAACAAGTTTTCATTCAAATACTGATTTTAAAATATTAAGGTAGATAATTTTACATTCAAGTGACACCCCTGAATTAATCCCCTGAATTTACCAGCAATAGCAGTCTCACATAATTGAAGGAAGCAGTGATTTCTTAAGCTTTCTCATCACCACAGTTCAGGACGAAGAATATATTATATATTAGGAATTTGTCTGATGAAGATTAATGACACCAACGGCTTAGCGTTTGCAATATCATAAATCTGTATAGTAAGGGTTGTGGAGAAAGCTGCTTGTTAAGCTTGCTCTTGCCAAGACCTTCAACAAACCGATGATATCGGTAATGAAATGTGGGGATGACCTGGAGGAAGGAGGCAAAGAGATTCTTCCCAGGGACTGATTAGAAAAGAAAGGGAGAAACCTGCATTCGCTTAACAATCAGCGGAAGAAACTTAGGAGAGAACTAATTGATCAGATGAAAGGGACGTGGTGGCTCAGTGGCTAAGACACTGAGCTTGTCGATCAGAAAGGTCATCAGTTTGGTGGTTCAAATCCCTAGCACCGCATAATGGAGTGAGCTCCCGTTACTTGTCCCAGCTTCTGCCAACCTAGCAGTTCAAAAGCATGTAAAAATGCAAGTAGAAAAATAGGGACCACTTTGGTGGGAAGATAACAGCCTTCCCTGCACCTTCAGCGTTAAGTCATGCCGGCCACATGACCATGGAGTCGTCTTCGGACTGCGCTGGCTCTTCAGCTATGTAACAGAGATAAGCACTGTCCCCTAGAGCCAGAAACGACTAGC